CCTTGCCACATAAAGGGAAAACTACAAAGAATCATTCACACATAACACACGGGGGTTGGGGTGCATTGCTACATAAAAACTCCCTTCCCCCCTCAAATGACAAGGCACATCAGGAGCTGGACTTTTACAATTAGAGCCCTCATCCTATTAAAACTAGTCCTATTCACAGAGATGTACCTCCTCATGTCACCTTAGGGAGGGGGTTCCCCATAACCTCTAGGCTCACTAGAGAGTCTCAGAAGCTCTCTTAAGAGAACTAACTGAAAAAATTCAGTGTTCACTCAAAGCTCCTCTAGTCTTGTGCATTTCTAATAGATTAAGGAGAAATGACTCTCTCCAAGTACTTAAAAAATCAAAAATTTTAAAAACATAGCCATCAGATATAATTTCCACTTAAATTCTATAATTGGAAATATATTGTCCTTTCCCTCTATTCATTTCCTTTAAGTACCTTCTTAAAAATGAGGGGAAAAAAATCAGGAGTATGTCTCTAGCTTCAGTTTTACACAGTATTACTACAGGATTGAAATAAGTACACTATGGAGCTCAGATGGAATATTTTAGGGTCATCAGAAAAATGATGGTCAAACTCCTTTTGAGAAAAAGTATGCTGTTATAACCTTATATGTGCTACATGAATGCAATTTATTATTAGTCTTCCTTATGCTATTTCTTATAAACTGTTCAAACTTAAGAGAATGTTTTATGCCGATTCTGAAAGCCTAACATGAGACAGTTTAGGAATAAAACTAAAATGCAATATTCAATATTCACTTTAGATTGAATTAGAACTTCCAGAAAAAGTCTGTTTTTAAATTGTCAATTAACTTAAACTAGTACAATTTTCAGCTAGTATTCAAACTAGTACAATTATTTTTTTTTGGCTTTACCAAATTAAATGATTCTTACGGTCAATATACAATAAGCAGAAAGGAACTCTGGATGTTTTATATCTCTCAGTGAACTGTGCTGGAGAATATCATTTGTGAGAGCCTGCCTTGTGCTTTCTCATTCTTTCGCCAAGGATACCCTTTAATGAACCTGTCAACTATTCTCATAAAGATTTTGTAGTAATAGAAAAGTAGACATTGGGATCCAGAGTGGTTTCTATTTGGCATCCACGAAATGGGTGTTGTCACTGGCCTGCTTGCCCCTATACACTTCACTAGCTTGTTGTGAGAATGTGTTTTGCAAAGCGTCCAGTGTGCGGTATAAAAGCAGTGATCTTCTTACGGGCATCACTGGGAGGATGGATACAACGCTCAAGTCTTTGCTATGTTCAGCAGCATTCACTTTGTACTTCTGGCTTCCCCCAGTAAAATCAAGCCCCAGGAAACTCATCACTGGGAAACATCATCATCTTGCAAGATCCAATCAGCTTTGTCGCTCACACTTCCTCAGGACCCTCTGCCCCTCAGATTGGAGGGTGCAGACACAAACGCCTCCATTTAAGGAGAGGAAACTGGACTGACCCTTCCCAGATATCTCTTCATTTCCCATCCCACTATACTCTGATTTCTTTGAGTCCACTGTGTCACACCCACCACCCTTGCCCCCTTTCAGCTTTCTTTTGTGTGTGTTTCCTTCCCTTAGACTGGAAGAGCCCTGAGGGCAAGAACTGTCTTTCTTTTTCATATCTGTATCCCCAAGGATTGCCTGGCTCATGTGCTTAACAAATGTTTAATGATTAACTGCTTCACACATTTTTACTACAATCAAGGGTCTCCTCCCAAGGATAAGAACTGACAAACTGTGTTTGTTGAATACTAACCCCCTTACAGAGGCAGTACTCAAAACTACTACAAGGTTGTTGTTTTTTTTTAAAAGACAAACCTTTTTTTTTTTTTTTGCATATTCCTTCAGCCTCTGATGCTTACCAAATACATGCATTTACACGGATTTAAATTTCATTCCTGGTGAAGGTTCTGATATTCAACTAGTTATAACACTGTAATTTCAGTAACTGCACCAAATATCTCAGAAGAAGAGAGGTCCTGGTGAGGAAGAACCAGTGCTGGGGATGTTTGCCAGAGTTTAACAAGGGAATTCCTGTTACTTACAGGAGGCAGATAACTCAGAATTCCTTGTGGGGAAAATGTACAAACAAAAGAGTTAATGATTTAAAAAAAAAAAAAGAGTGCCCTCATACAAGCGTGTCTTATGGAAGTCGGTGCATCTGTAGGCTTTAATAATTCATTTGATAGCTTTATTAGCTAACAACTGCACTAAAATTTTTGGAACATGTTTTATGGTGCTTCCTTCATCATCACCCAGTGAAGTGAGCAGTGCAAACACTAATATTCCTACTTGACAAAGGAGGAAACTGAGTCTCAAGGGGTTGACTTGACCATAGCCAAATGGGTAGACAGCGTCAGTCTGACTGCAGTCCAAGTCTTCTGATCAACCACATTTATTTCTACCTGTCCTAAGAGGCATCCAAAAACAGCAACAAGAACCTACCACCTTAACTCTTCAGCAGGAGAAGAGAACGTCCATATCTATCTAACGGATACTGGAAAACAACCCAATTCTAAGTGCCCCCCCCCATGTTGCTAAGGAATTGAAGAGTACTTGGACATTTCTAGTGCAGAGACAAAAGATTTCATTATTAAAACGTAGTGCCCGAGTGAGGGAGGTGATCACCATCACCTCCTCTGCCCCAGGAGATCACATTTGGAATATTCTGTTGAGTTCTAAGGGGAGAGCTACCAGGATAGGGAGAGGGTCAGAAATATGCTATCAGAGCAGTGGCTGGGGGGAAATGGGAAGGTTTTAACCTGAAGACAGAGAGATTTGGTGGGCACAAAGGAGTGAGGGGAGAATAGGATGGTTGTCTTCTAAATATCTAAAAGATTATCACATGGAAGGATTAGATTTGTACTATGTGGCCCCAAAGGGCAGAACTAGAAAGGGGATTTTGGCTCCAGGGAAAGAGAATTTGCTAACAATGACAGCTATTTGAAAACAGAATGGGATGCCTCAGGGAGAAAGGAGTGAGCTCCTCTGAGCAAGCCAGATGAAAATATGCCAGTGATGCTGTCCATACTGTGGGACCCATAGCATGGGTAGGGGCTAGAGAAAGCACATGAAATCTATCTACAAGCCTTAGGAGTCCACTGACCTGAGGTTAAAAACCACTTGGCTAAAGGAACCAAGTTATGAGGAAAGGTTAAGAAAAACGGGGTTTGGAGTCTAGCAGGAAAGAACTAGAGGATGTCAGGCACCGTGGTGTATGCCATAACGTTTGCTTACAGGGAGACTGAGGCTGGTGGGGGTCACTTGAGCTCAGGAGTTCCAAATTGCAGGAAGGCTAAGCTGACCTTTGGTACCAATAAGTTGAGCCTCCAGGAGAATGGGCCCAAGATGGAAATGGAGCAGGTCAAAGCTTCTGTGCCAAACAGAAGTGGGATCAGGCCCATGAGTGGCTGCTACACACCCTCATCTGGGTGAGACAGAGAGAACCAGCCTCAAACCAAAAGGAATGAGAGGAAGGGGTTTACAAGACGATGAAAATCTACACATTGTTGGGGATCTACAGCAAGGAGGAAAGGAAATCATTAAAAGTGAAATCAAACTAAATAAAAAAAACAAACCAACATATTAAACTAGGAACCCTTTAATGGTAAGATGTTGCTGTTATACTTCAGAGGAAGCTGCTCAAAGGCCCAGAGCCAGGGCGTTTCTTGCCGGAAAATGCTTAGCATACTGCGATACACATGTGACTACTTAGGTATTAATTAATGGTGGTGGAGATCAAGCAGAAACTCTAATGGCTGAGGGAGGCATTTAGAACTATCCTAGATAATGCATCTTCAAAAACCCTGGAGGAGACAACCTTGCAAAGACCTAAAGGTTAGGCAAAAATTGGCGTTGTGATTTAACAGACCTTCCATGGATACAGCACCAACTTTTCTAAACAAGTTTTATCTACAAAAGATCTGAAGAAGTAACAGTTTGACTTTCTACTGTAATGTCGAGAAACTCAACTGTTCCATCAAAGGGAAAAAATTCTCTCATCCCTCTGGATAACCTAACAGCTTAGACAAATATTAACACTTAAAGGAAATTCTGAGGTGATAGAGAAATCCCAGAGTTTTTACCCATCTACATTTTCTCCCAAAGGTGCTTTGAAAAATATACATAATACACATCACTCTGCATGTGCCCAAGGGCCTGAATATCTCAGTATTAAGATTCTCAAGTTAACTTCTCTACCTGTCAGTCCTCAATCGGAGATTCTTCATGACCATAAATGAGTTTCATTTAAGTCCTATATTATTAGAAACATCATTAAAAATAACTTTAAAAAAGACTCCCTAAGATTTCCATAACCCAATTCCTATGTGTGCTTGTGGGTTGTTATTGGTTTGTTTGTTTTTCTGAATAGGAGAAACAGGGTAATCCCTTCAAAGTTGTAGGCCAGACTTTTAAACTACAAATTGCCTTTTTTTAAAAAAAAAATTAATATTGCATTTAAGTTTAGTATTGTATGAAACATTTGTTTCAAGCTAATTTTTGCATTTAATTTGAAGCTACATTCTGTATTTGAGGGACTGATGGAGTTCAAAACAAAACTTATCTTCTTAGAGCTGGCTGTTTTAATTGCCTGACACATTACCTTTTACAAAGATTTAATTCTGTACATGTGACCAGAATTCTTAATTAAAGCAGAAGCAGATTCCTACAAATCCACCAATCAATACTGCTTCTGAAACATATTTTTAATCTTTACGGCTTCACATACTGTTCAGTTATAAATACGTGGTCTATATCCACCAATACCTTCTTTCATAAATTAAATCAAAACAAAAACAAACATGAAAACAATCCTTCAGGAAGTCCTACAAAGTTGGATCCCTTTAAAACCTTAAAATACTCAAAGTCACGTATCAACAACACCAACAACAAAAAACCCTCAAAAACTAAAAACCAACCATCTTGTGTAATTGCACCTCGGGATCAGAATAAGGATCGAAGCGTCTGCTGGGGAGGACACTCACCTGGATCGGTGGCTGGGCACTTGCGGATAGTGAAGATCTGCCCCAAGTCGTCTTCTTCCTCAGGAAGACCCTTCTGGAGCCTCTGAAGTTTGCGCAAGCTCTCGCTCCGCTGATGTTTCATGGAGCGCACGTGCTGTATGAGGTTGAGCTTGGCCTTGGTGGAATAGCTGCACAGGACGCAGTGATAGTAGCAGCTCTCTCCCTCTACCCCAGTCTCATGCTGCTGAAGGTGCTGTAAGCAAAAGACAGGGATGGTGAGTGAGTGGGCCTCCTGGCCAAATTCCCTTTCCCTCCTCCTGACGGCAATCACCCCAGCAATTCCCAGGCACTTGGGGACAAAGTTTCTGGGCCAGTTTTAAGCACTAAGTAGGTAGGGCCTCACTCAGTAGCACTCCCTTTCTCTTTTCTATCTCCCCAATTCACCCCTAAACAGCGCTCCATGAATTCAGTTCGATGCTGTGCACAGACCATCTCAGCAAGATAGGCCAGTAAGACTGTTGACTAAAATCTTTTCCACAAGAACCATGGCCTGATAGTAGAAACCCTGAACTGAAGACTCCCTTCCCCAGGGACAAAAGGAAGAACAGTTTCTCCTAAATAACTCACTGATGTGACTGTTAGATTGTGAGCTCCTTGAGGGAAATGGACTGTTTTTGCCTTTCTTCCTAGACACAGAGTACATGCTTCATAAAAGCTTGTATATTTGACCATAAGGCTCGTTGGTCACCCAGTGAGTTAACTCCTCTCACTCCAGAGAGTCTGGATACAAGTACACCAAATCCCCTACAACGGGGGGAGGATAATCAACTTTAGGAAGCATCATTTAAAGATCTATCCGAGCAATAAGGCCTACCCTGAGAAGGGAACTACCGTTAGAGGAGCCAGAACATAGAGGTGGGTCTCATCAAAAGCCAGATATCCTGCCTTCTGATCTTGTACTCTCTTCCCCACAAAGTCCAACATCTTTTTGAGGAAGAAATAACATTTTAAGAGTCTCTCAAGAGTTTTATTTCTCTCCACTCTTAAGTTCTTTGTAGGTAAGGCCTGTGCCATGAGTGGTACTGGAAGCTTTAAGTCTCCACATGCAATTTATCACCAGAGAAAGATTCAGAAGTCACAGAGAATGGAATCTTCTGGTACTAAACAAAGCATGTTCATTTTTAAAAAGTAGTATTTTGAAGCATCCCTCCCTTGCACACTGTAGCCGAGGCAGCTAGATGCCTGCCCTGTCTGCCCTGCCGGTCTTTGCTCCTCTACAAGGAATGCACAACCCCTAGAATCTTTGCTTCCTCTTGGGACGCCACGGAGCACCGTGCGGCTTAGAACAAAACCCTGAACAGGTTGTCTTTTCTGATGAGCCCCTAAGGTACTTCTAGGATGCCCTATAGTCAGAGGAAGATCAATTAAAAAAAAAAAAGACAAGTAAACTTTATGAGTGAAGATAATTCCTATTTGATGACACTGCTCCCGAAACTCATGTGTTCATACACATGTCCTCCATTCACTGAAAAGGTGTGAAAAATCTGGAGACATGTTTGCACATTGTTTGGAGCAGTAACATGAATGCCCTGGTTAATCCATGTAGAAAATTATTATGGATTGAGCTCTGAGGCCTTCAGCCCTAAGTCACACACACACAAGCAAAATTATTCCAGAGAAAATCTTGCTCTGGAATACAGACTCAGATCCTGGGTGAGGGCTAACATGGTTTTTGTGTGCACCCAACAGGAAAATTCCTTCTTTCCAAATGGGTGGATTAACACCTGCACACGTGGTACCTTGGGAAAAAGTCAATCCCTTCAGGAACAACCATTCTAGACCAGTGTGACAATGATAGAAGGCTGCAATCGAGGGAGTTGAGTAATGCTTGATGTTGTAAGAGGGATAAAGCAGTTCTCTTGGAATAATCGAGCAAATTTCATTAAGTACTCACTTCCTATCCCCCCACCTCCAATCGGAGATGGTTCAGAAGGAGATTTAGCAGGAAAAAAAGGAGAACTGCTTTGTAAATGTTTTCTAAGATCAAGGAATCAACCACATCACTGTGGTTCAGGACTCTCCTAGCACAGGCTCAAACCAAATTCAAATTAATTGGGAAATATTTAACCAAACAAATACACAATCAAACACAGATAATATTCATGTATGGTTTTCTAAGTCAACATGCCACTGCAGGGATCCTTATGTACAGGGCAGTGGTCCCCATTTCTATTTGCAGTTGAGACCACTGTTCTAAGGGATCCTAAGCATAGACACTGCAGAAGCCGTAGCCGGTAAAACAGAACAAGGGAAAGCCATCACCGAGGGTTGGACTGCCCTCTCCTCCCTTATATCCCCTCGTGCCTTCCCTTAAATCTCAGGTAAAATCTCACCTTCTATAGGAAGCCTATTCCAGTCCCCTTTGATCTTGCTGCCTTCCCTCTGACATTACCCACAATCTCTCCTGTCTATAGAGTGTCTGTACAAAGCTACCTGCATAATGTTTCCCCCATTAGACTGTAAGCTCCTTGAGAGCAGCACCTGTCCATTTGCTTGGCCCGTAGCACACGCTTAGTAAATGTCGACTTAGTAGAGGACTGATGGCCCCCACGTTGAGGTTCTCTTTCCAATCATCATTCTCCCTGACTTTCCCCAGCAGGTTTGATTAAAGCCAAAAGTCCACCAAGCTATTTGTGTGAACAAGGGCTTGCTGTGGAACTACAGAGAACAAAGCTGTAGGATGACTAGGAGCCTTAGGCCACAGAGACAAGAGAATTACATTTAATAGAACTACAACTAAAATTGAATGAATTAAAAACAACAAAAAGAGAGTCATGGAATCCAAGGCAAGAATTTCAGTCAGGGGATCTTGATGGCATCATAATCTGTGAAATTAGAGCCATTATCATTCCCTCTCAGCCTCTAAGCCAATTTCCCATAACCTCCATCTCTCCCCTCTGCCATCACTCATCACATCCCCAAGAAGAGGATTTCCTTGTAATAAAGTGCTATGTTTTTTCTCTAAAATTCTATTATGGGTCTGCTATATCTACTCCAAAGTAGTCTGAATTTCTACCTGCCATGAGATGGCCAGGAGTAACAAACATGGCTGAAAGGGTCCAAATGGGTTTGCCAAAATGTCTGTCACGCATTCCTGAATCGATAGATTCTTGGGTTAATTCTAAATCAGGACAATTGTCTCACTCTGTAAAACCCTACCTTAAAAAATCGAAATAGTAAAGATGCTGCCAATTCATTCTGTCTTCTTGTGTCACTGTCATTAGTTATTCTCTTGGGACAGTAAAAATTATTTTGTCTATTATTTCAGATCCATTTCTAGGAAAAATGATTATATAAAGCCAACTACTGAAAAAGAGTAAAAAAAAAAAGGAAGAAAAAGGGAAAAAAACAAAACAGAGTGACTATATTCAGTTTTTTACATAAACTTGCAAAAAGGCAGCTGGAGACTGGTGGGCTAGTTCATTCTTTTAAGGCATTAGATGAAAAATTCTGACTAAATAATTTCTAGTCTATTAAGGAATGCACACCTAAATAGCTACGGATCATCTTGCCTCTTATATCCTTTCTCAACTAGTCTAGTATACTGGAAAGAACCCTGGATTTGGAATCAAAGGATCAGGATATGAATCCCTTTGCGACCATTCATCCTCTCTGTGACCCTGAGCAAGCCCTCTCTTTGCCTCAGTTTCCACTTGAAGGATTTGGACTAAAGGGTGTTTAAAACCCCTTTCCAATCTGAATCTATGGATCCGTAGATCTGCAACTTCCTGTGGCCCAGCTGGAAGTTCTGAAATATCCACACTTTGGACAGTATCTCAAAATTCCCACAGCTAGACAACACATAGAACAAAAATACCAATAACCAGTCCAACTTCAGGAATATAAGACCGTCGTAGTTTGCCTATTTAAGTACCCTAGAACAGACTTGTCTGCCTTGCAGGGCCTGCAATAGCCCACAAAACTTTCTAACGCCACTCGAACCAGACCAAAAATGGTTAACAAAAGAAATAAAAATACAATAAAATATAGATGTTCATCTGTGGTTTTCTACATCAATATGGAACTGCAGGGATCTCTTTCTATATGAGTTTGACACCACCGCCCATCTCTTCCTACTACACCGTCTGCCCAATCCTCCCAATTTTTGGAGACTGAGATACTCGTGGTCTCACTTGTGCATCTGTCAGCCACCACCATGTACAGCGTCGTCCCATCAGCAAAACTCCAGGCTTTGCTCTGGGCTAAATAAGAAGCAGGAGGGGGCTGGAGAGGCGCATCTGATCCCAATGGCGTAAGTCAACCAATGACACTTCTAACCCTCAGAAGGGAGTAGGAGATGTTTTCATTTGCAGTAGGAGAGAGAGAATAATTTGTTCCTGACCCAGCTAATTAGAATACCCTCAATTGGGATCACAATGTATTTAATTAAATTCACTGTAATATATGAAGAATCCACCAAGGCACAAATCCCAATGGTACACTCAATAAAGGAGCTGCTTTCTTTCAGAGTTTCTTTCCTTTCACAAGTCAGAACATTTTCTTCCCTCCCCTCCCCATCATCTTGAATTTCTCTACCTTTTCTTCTAAAATCTGGGATTTCCCTCCAATCCCAAGGGAAAAGGCATTACGTTCAATTCAATTTTAATTCAACAAATATTTGTTAAGTTTCTAAAATGCGCCAGGCCCAGGGGATACAAAGAGAAATACAGTACGGACCCTACTCTAGAGGAGCTAACAATCTAACCCCTGGATGACTGCTCATCAGGGAGGTTATAGTGGGCATTCTTATTCAAGTATGGGTGGGACAAAACGGACATTGATACCCCTTTCCACTCTAAATTTGGTCATGGTGTAATGGTGGGAAGCCAAAGACGCAAGTAACTAGAATGCAAGGCAGAATGAGACACGTCAAAGGAGAGGTCTGGGATAGGTGCTGGGTGACATTTAGGGTGAAAGAAGCTCACTTTAATCTGGTTTGAATAGGTAGGTGGAAAATGCAAGAAACACATCATAGAAGACATACAACAAGTGCCGAGTCTTAAATGAAAGGGCAGCACTCCAACAGAAGGAGATTTGGGGCCGAAGAAGGGAAGAGTTTCAGGGATGGGATCTGTATGGACAGGCAAAAGGCCTGAGGCTGGAAAGGGAAGTGGATAGGCATCCCATTGGCCTAGACTACAGAGAGAAACATGAAAAGGGACACAATAAGAAAGGTCTGGAAAGGCAGTTGTT